TCTGACACATGCTACCACATGGATGAACCCTGAGGACATTATGCTAAGCAAAATAAGCCAGTCACAAAAAGACAAACATTATACGATTCCACTTACATGAGGTACCTAGAGTAGTAAAATTTATAGAGACAGAAAGTAGAATGGGGAGTTCCAGGGGCTGAGGAAAGGAGAAATGGGGAGTTGTTTAATGGGTAGAGTTTGAGTTTTGCAAGATGAAGATTTCTGGAAGTGAGTTCCTCAACAATGTGAATGTACTTAACACTATTGAACCATACACTTAAAAATGGTTAAGATGATAAATTTTAGGTTATGTGCACTTTACCACAATTAAAAATAAAAAATATAGCCAAATACGCCAGAAGTGTAGAAAAAATAAAAATAAAAAAATAAATAAAAAAATAAAAAATAAAGTAGCTGTGCTCTCCTGACAAATCTCCAATTCTACATATTGTTCTGTCTTTTGTTCCTTTGGTATCAGTTTGTAAGAAAGTTCTAGTTAATTCCATCTTCTGGTTTTAAATTATACTAATCAAGAAAGTGTACGCTGCTCTTATCAAAAAGTAAACCTCAAGGATCATTAATGGATGTGAAGACCATTAGGTAAAAGATGATTAGATATCAGGATATATACATGCTGCTAGACTATCACCCCACAGATTACTTACTTGCTAAATGCAAAGGGGGAAAAAACTTATCTTTTACAATGGTGAGATCTGGTAGACATCATCCTACCAAGTAATCAAATTTGGCACCAAGAGTCATGGGACAATCTAACATTATATGCCTCTTGCTGTGATGAAATATGAAATATATAGCATCACCTATGAAGCTCTCCTACCAAAAATGTTTAACATGGATCTAATCAAGCCAATGGACCCAACCTTCAGCTTATTAGAAATATAGGAGATAGAAGACCAAGTTAATCACCACACAGAAACGTTCTATAAGAAAACTAGCCTGGAGCCGGGCCCAGTGTCCAGTGCTTATTGTCCCAGCTACTTGGGAGGCTGAGGTGGGAGGAGTGCTTGAGCCCAGGAGTTTGGCATCAGCCTGGGTGACATAGCGAAACCCCATCTCTTATAAAAAAAGAAAAGAAAACTAGCCTCGTCTCATCAATAGAGGAATTTTTTTTTTTTTTTTGAGACAGAGTCTCACTTTGTTGCCCAGGCTAGAGTGAGTGCCGTGGCGTCAGCCTAGCTCACAGCAACCTCAAACTCCTGGGCTCAAGCAATCCTCCTGCCTCAGCCTCCCGAGTAGCAGGGACTACAGGCATGTACCACCATGCCCGGCTAATGTTTTCTATATATATTAGTTGGCCAATTAATTTCTTTCAGTTTATAGTAGAGACGGGGTCTCGCTCTTGCTCAGGCTGGTTTCGAACTCCTGACCTTGAGCAATCCGCCCGCCTCAGCCTCCCAGAGAGCTAGGATTACAGGCGTGAGCCACCGCGCCCGGCCAATAGAGGAATTTTTAATATGTACTGGATATTAGGTATTAGGGACTTATTGTTAATTTTCTTAGATGCGATAATGGTATTGTTATTATGTAGGAGAATGTTCTTTCTTATTCTTAGGGAATATATAGTGAAGTATTTAGGTGAGTGCTATGATGTCTGCAACTTACTTTCTTTCATATAGTTTAGCTAAAAAAGAAAAGCATAAATATAGCAAATATGATCAAACTTTACAGTCATTTAATCCAGGTCATGGGTATGTAGTTCATAGTTCTATTCTTTCAAATTTTCTTTGTGTTTGAAATTTCTTATCATAAGTTATAGAAAATTATAAAGAAAGAAAAATAGCAAAGCTCTTGTTTTTATTTAAAAGACTATTAATGGATTTCCCAATTCCACTCTCCCTGTATATTCTACTAGTATCCTTATTAATATTATAATATTTAATGATTAAAAGTAGATTAAAAATTATTGCAACAATGACAACAAAAAGGCAAAGTATAGATAAAAGACAAAGATAATATGACAAAATGTCAACAGAAATTCTCTCTAGGTAGTGGGACTACTGGATTTTTTCTTTTACTTTTCTGTATTTTCTCAATATTTTATACTATCTTTTACTTTTTATAAGATTAAAAATATTTGTTTTAGGTAACAACTTCTGAACATAAGCACTACAAAGACACATATTGCTATGTTAGTACAGAACTGGCCAAAAAAAAAAAAAAAAAAACACTGAAGAACTAAATTCACTGTCAATGTAAACAAACCAAAATGGCTATCTCAAATAATATAATAACTTTCCCCACATATACAATCCCCAAATGTTAAGCAGAAATAAAGACCATTGATAAGTTTTGGTCCTTTCATAGGTGATGAGGAGCTTCTTACTCTATTATAATTCACAATTTTATGGCTTTACATAAAAAAATTTTCTTTGCCAATTCTAGAACTGATAGTATAGAACACTACCAGGAAAGAGTACTTACTCTCCACAGACCCCTGGTGCCTTCCTGTTGGTATATATCGATGAAGCTGCCAATCATGCTCCCTTGAAACAGGCTTCCTTGAGCCTGCATCCGAATCTAAAAGAAGAGGTGAACATTTTGTTTTGGCAGAAAGAACCAAAAGGAGATATTTTACTCCTTTAAAATTAAGAAAACAGTATTTGGGGATTATCAGAAAAATCTCTATTATGATGAAATTAATGAGTTAAACTGTATATAGAAAGAATGTAATTTGTGTCAAAGTGTATTTTATAAAGACGATTTTCATCACATTCCTCATACTAAGTCCATCATTTCTGAAGTTAGAAAATTTGGGGAAAAGGAAGAACAAATACACACCAGGCATAGAAAATGATTCATTTAAAATATGATTAGTGGAAAATTACAAACCTAAATATCCAAACAACAACACAGATTGGTTACATAAATTATGATATATCCATTTAATGGAATACTATGGAGCCATAAAATTCTGTTGGACAATAATATTTGTTGATATTGAAAGATGTCAAAAATTAATTTCTAAATATGAAAAAGGTTACAAAATAGTATATATGTCATTTTTACTAAAAACATGTAAACTTAAATATATCCCTAAACTCCAGGAGACTGGAGGAACATACACATCCAAATATTGATGGTGGTTTATATCTGAGTGGTGAGGCTACAACTGAGCATTTTTCTGTTTTTTTTTTCTGCTTTCCATTTTTTTCTACACTGAACATGCATTGTTTATGCAATTATAAAAAGCAAAAAATGTTTTAAAATGTAATTTTATGCTTACAAGACCTTAAATTGAGTCTTATTTGTAAAAAGCATGATATTATATTCTGCCAAGTGGCCTTTGAGAGCTACAAGAAAGGAAATACAGTATTAAATAGTCATGTAAAAGACTTGGAACAATTTCACAGATTCCAAACACATATAATCAATCATAGGAGTCAGTCACTAAATACTAGTGCCCAAATGTATGCCTGATTTTCATGAAGCACAACTCTAGCATTGAAGATTTCAATAAATGTCCTTGGTAAGTCATGTAACAGCAGCATGCTTTTATGCAGAAAGTCAATTGTTACTACTAAGAGTTTTGAAATAAAAACCTAAGCTCAATTAAATCGAGATACAAACTACTATAAAGACTAACCAAAACTACAAATACCCTATGGAAAGTAGAAGATGTCTTAAAGGAGGTAATTCCTGAGCATGACTAGGACTAGGGTGAGGCAAATGAAGTATTTTCCTTAGGTGAGTAATGTAAGGGGGCACCAAAATGCTCAGTAATCAAAATAAATAGTATCTTCATTCAATATTTTCAAAAAATCCAAATTAATCCACAAAAATCCATGATAGATCAAATATCAAAATTTTAACTAAAGCTAGGATTCAACAGGGCCAAGATTAGGGTGAGGTGAGTGAAATGAATTACGTAAAATTTTTATATCTGGTTTATCATTAATTTTTTGCATTAATTTTGATTTTTTAAAAAAATATTACATAAAATGTTACTTACATTGATTACTGAGTTTTTTGGCACCCTCTTACATTTTGTACCCAAGGGAAGTACACCTCACTTGTTTTACTCTAGGTCTAGCCCTGTTTCTGAGCATAGTCTTAAAGGACAAATTTACCAGAAAAAGGAGAAAAGGCACTGCAGGGAGAAAGAGAGCTACATGCACAAAAGCAAAGAAGCAATATATAGTAGATCAGATATGGATTAAGATCACTCTGGCTTCAGTCTGGAGATGGGTTGAGAAAGCACACACTAGAGTGAAAAGCCAAGTTAGGAGGCTTCAGAGATGAGGGCCTATAATAGGAATGGTGGGGAAACAACAAATTTGAAAAATATTTATAAGGTAAAATCTACAGAACTTGATACCTGATTCAATATTAAAAGGAAATAGAGATAGAAGAATCAAGGATGATCTAGGTTTCCAGTTTGGATGACCCAGTAGATCTGGTTGGGTAGTTGTGGTAGAATACTAGTTGTCCCCCAACATCTATTCTCCCCTTCTTCAATAATTAGAGTTTTAGTTGGGCACATGATCCCCCAATTAGAGACATTTCCCAGCCTTCCTTTCAGCAAGATATAGCCATAGAACTAAGTCCTTCAGAATGAAATGTGAACAGAAATAGTGGTTGAAACTTCCCTGTCTGTTGCTTCAAAGGAAATTGCCTGTATTTCAGAATAGCCAAACAGCCCTACTTAATGAGAAAAAGTTCTTCCTTGCAGAAGAATTCTAGCTAAGAAACATAGAAGGAATGACAGAATTAGAAAAATCACCATTTTGCAACCTTTGGTGAAATAACTGATTCAAGTAATGGTCACCAACAGAGGAAACCATTAGATGAAGGGTCGACAGGAAACTTTACAAAGGAGGAATAAGGCTGTCACACCTGAATTTACTGATCAATCTTAATTGGGACAATCTAATATTGGGACAACCAAACATTGTATGCATCCTCACATGACTCAGTATGACCTTTACAGATACCTTCCATTTACAGAAATAGAGGGTTTAGCGGAATCAGATTACCTCACAAGGAAGCAAACAGCCAAATCCAGAACTTGGGAATTCTACAGGACAACTGATCCAGTTTATTCAACAAGTTAATGGTAAAAAAAGAAAAAGAAAGAGGTGTGTGGGTGGCAGTGGGGTACTTTAGAGTAAAAGAGACTTAAAACATAACTATTAATGTTATGTAACTTTGGACTCCAAGTTAAATAAATCAACTGTAAAATATATAAGACAGTCTGGAAATTTGAACATAGATTATCAGACGTTACCAATTAATTATGTTAATTTTGTTAGCTATAACAAAGGCATCGTGGTTATGTAAGAAACCATTCCTTTTAGGAGATGTACATCAAAATATGTGAGGGGAAATGACAATATCTGGAATAATCTTTAAAAGAATTCAGAAAAAAAGGAATAATGAAGCAGGGATAGCAAAATCTTAGCTGTTGAATCTAAGTGACACATACAAAGATGTTCACTATACTATTATTATTCTCTACTCTTTGGTATGTTTGAAATTGTTTATCAAAAACTACATATTTAAAGATTTAAACTGTTAACAAAAATGTAGGCCACAGATGAGATATACCCGAAGGCCAAACACCCATCACCAGATAAGCAAAACTTAAGTCATCCTGATTTCCTCCAAAATTCTCTCTCTAATCATAAACACAGAACATAAGCTTTATGTCCTTGTCAGCATGCTTCAGTGAAATGAAACCAATCGACTATAGAAAATCAGCTTAAACAGCTGTTTGCCTTTAAAAGAACAATTTATAACAGCCAATCACAAAAAAGGTCAAAATACTTCCTCCTCTGTGCTTTATAAACTGTGCTGTAACTGCTTTAAGGTGAGCTGCTTACCACTTGGTTTGAAGTATCCTGGATTGCAATCTGTACAAATTCAAATTTCCCCTAACTTAATCTGATTTTATTTTTCACAAAACAAAAGGAAAATGCTTTCCCTTGACTCTTTCTCTTCCCATGGGAATGTGGGTGTGGTGGTGGTCCAACTTCAACCATACAGATTTTTAAAATACCATAGGACAGAGGTCAGCAAACTTTTTCTATAAAGTGCCAGACAGTAAATATATTAGGCTTTGCAGGACTTAAAGCCTCTGTCCCAGCTACTTGGCTCTGCCACTGACTCATAAAAGGATCCATAGACAATACATAAACAAATGGGCTGGCTGTGTTCCAATAAAACTTTATATACAACAGGTAGTGGACCAGATTTGGCCCACAGATAGTAGTTTGCCAATCCTTGTCCTAGGATATAATGGCAGTGCAACAAAATCAAAGGAACCTGGATCCTGGATGATGGCATGGAGTAGGGCCACCCCACCAGCATGAATCACTCTCCTCCGGACTGTTACATGAGGAAGAAATAAACTTGTATACTGTCTGAGGCCTTTTACTTTTTAGTTTCTTTGTTATAGCAGCTTACCCTATACCCTGATACAGTGAAAGTCAAAGTCTTAAGAATGAAAATGGTCAACCGAGGAAAATGGCGTTGGCCATGTTGGTGCTAGTGGTTCCGCCATGGCCGGCAGCCCGGGGTCTCTTCCGAAACTGTTGGGAGCAACTACAGCGGAAGCTTCAGCAGAGCCAGCCAGGATTTCCCAGTCCTCCGTGGGGATCAGCATTAGCAGTCCAGGGTCCAGTCTTATTTACAGAGCCAGCAAATGATGCAAGTGGAAGTAAGGAAACTTCCAGCCTTTCGGATAGTATCTTTTGGATGGCAGCTCCCAAAAACAGACGCACCATTGAAGTTAACCGTTGTAGGAGAAGACACCCTTGGAAACTTATTAAAGTTAAGAACAATATAGACACGTGTCCTGAATGTGGTCACCTGAAACTCAAACACATCCTTTGTGGCTATTGCTATGAGAAGGTGCGCAAGGAGACAGCAGAAATCCGACAACAGATAAAGAAACAAGAAGGGGGCCCTTTTAAGGCTCCCACCATAGAGACTGTGGTGCTGTACACGGGAGAGACGCCATCTGAACAAGATCAAGGCAAGAGGATCATTGAACGAGCCAGGAAGCGATCATCCTGGTTCACCCAGAATTGACACCAAAGATGTTAAAAGAGGCTAACTTTACAGTAAAACATTTTTCCTAAAAGAGAGGAAGATTGTTTGTTTTTATGTTGTTGTGTTTGTTTTTAAATCATCAATATAGTTTAAAACATTCTTTATAAGCAGTTTTATGTGGGATAATTTAAAGAATATATTGTGAGTAAATTCTGAAAATGTCTGTTTATGCAAAGGCTCAATGGATTAATATATCTGTTTATTACATATAAAATTTTAATGCATTCCTTTTGTCAGAAAAAAAAAATTTTAAGTACACATAGAGTTCCAGGGGGAAAAAAAGAAAAAATTTAAAATTCATAATAAGAATCATGTGCTTTGGTTTTGTTTATTAGGTTTTTTTAGACATCACTTAACACAAATACTTTCATTAAGTAACACATGGAAATAGGCTATCTGAATTTTTGGTATTGTTTTTTAAGGTGGTGGTTGTGACAGTAAGGAAAGGTTTTGTTCTTGTTTTTTGTTTCAGCTAATTAAAATTGCCTTTGGAAGAATTCATTTTATCTGGAACACATTATGCTAATCTACTTATGGTAATAGTTCTTTACACTTTATCACATTTGGAATATATTAGATAGCTTATGTTTTGGGAGAGATTTTTAGTGAGGAGATCTGAGCAAATCTCATAGCATACCAAAATGTGCTAAAAAAAAAGAAAATGGTCAACCAAGGAGAAACCATACAGGACAAAAGAGCTAAAGATGGAACTTTGAGTCGGAGAAGAGAGAGATTTACGATATGTGCAGAATAAAAGCCCACAAATGAAACCAATAAGTACAAAAACTAGAAGAATCTAAATATTGTGGTGTCAAAATGAAAGGAGAACTTCAAGTAAAAGGAATTAGTCAAAACTGGTTAAATAAGATGAGAACTAAATGTCCACTGGATTGGATAATGTGGACATTGCTGCTGACCCTGGGGAGAGTAGTTTCAATCCAGTATCAGGAGTGATTATAGCAGGTTATGGCAGGATGGAGAGTAAGGACTACTCTTTGTAAAATCTGGATAAGAAGGGAAGAAAAAGGTGGTATTTTGAGGAAGTCAGAGGGTCAAAAAGTATTTTAGGATAGAAAGACTTGAACATATTTATCATTTTAGGGGAGGTAACCAGTGAAGAGGAAGAGGCTGAAGAGAAAAAGAGGATAAATGATAGAGAAAGGTTCCTAATGAATCAGAAGTGAATAAGAACAGAGTAAAGCCAGGGTTTTTTAACCTGTGTATCAGAACCACCTGGAGGGCTTGTCAAAACAGACTGCTAGGCCCCATTCCCACTCCTTTCCAAATAACTAGGTATGGGGTAGGATCTGAGAATTTGCATTTCTAACAAGTTCTCAGGTAATGCTGTTGTGGTTGGTCTGGAGAACCATACTTTGAGAACCACTACAGTAGAGATAAGGTAAGGATGGGTATGGATATAAATAAGTTTATAGGTGAAGAGTGAGGCTGGGCACGGTGGCTCACGCCTGTAATCCTAGCACTCTGGGAGGCTGAGGCGGGTGGATTGCTCGTGGTCAGGAGTTCAAAACCAGCCTGAGCAAGAGCGAGACCCCGTCTCTACTATAAAAATAGAAAGAAATTAATTGGCCAACTAATATATATAGGAAAAATTAGCCAGGCATGGTGGCACATGCCTGTAGTCCCAGCTACTCAGGAGGCTGAGGCAGGAGGATCGCTTGAGCCCAGGAGTTTGAGGTTGCTGTGAGCTAGGCTGATGCCACGGCACTCACTCTAGCCTGGGCAACAAAACGAGACTCTGTCTCAAAAAAAAAAAAGAGTGAAAGGATAAGAAGTTGAGAGGCATAAGGCAAGGCCATAAGAGGTGGAGTTGCCTGCTAAGATTAAGAGGAACACAGAGCTAACAGAAAGCTTAAAGGTTTAAAATGTGCTTGAAAATAGGAGAAAGAGTTGCCCAAGGATAATGAAAGGACTGAACAGCCCAACACTGATCATAAATCATATCGGCATAGCCAAAGTCGAAGACTGTGACTTTTCTCCCGAGCACTAATCAGTCCTACTGAGGAATAAGAAAGGAAAACGTGGATGGTAGCATTGGTCAATGATTGTAATTTTGCCAGAGAGGTAATAGGTATGAGAAATTGAAAATGAATCACTTAGGTCATTAAATCTAGGATCCAGATGGATAAGAAAGTACATTTCAGAAAGATAAGTATTATTCATGAAAAGCACATTCTAACAGGTATGATTATACTGCAAATATTTTAGAGTTTTAGGACACAGTAAATTCTCTTCATAAATACTTGTTCTGTAAATTTAAAATGATATAAAAATTCTGCAGCTAAATTACTCTCACTTTAGTCCAGAAAGACTCTTTCATATTTTCTCTCTGTCAGTCACCATTGTTTTTTTTTTTTCATGTGTGCTGTTTTTAAGTCACTCTCTCAGGTCTCAAAACTCTCTGAATTGCAATAGATCTCTCCTTCACTAACCTAGCCACTAGTGATTTCACCAGTGCTCAAATAAAGCATGTGTCCTCTTACCTTTTTCTCATAATCCCTTTAAAATAATTTTTTAAAATTTTGGGATCCTGTCATATTTTAATCATATATTTCATGCTTTTAATTAATCATAAATTTAAATAAGTTAATAAGTATAAAATATTTACCATTTTATGAGATAAAGATGGAAACTGATATTAAAATAAATGTTTCACTCTGATTTGATAAAAGTCTTAAAGAAATCCAATTATATTCTTAATAAATCAGCATCACTAACCTATACTATCCTGGCTCTGAATTTAGAATATCCCAACACAGGCCAAAATATATCATTTTAAAAGCCAAATCTCACCCTTAATAGAAATATTATAAGACAGAAAAAGCCAGGCATGGTGGCTCATGCCTGTAATCCTAGCACTCTGGGAGGCCAAGGTGGGAGGATTGCTTGAGGTCAAAGTTTGAAACCAGCCTCAGCAAGAGTGAGACCCCTGTCTCTACTAAAAATAGAAAAAATTAGCCAGGTGTAAAAAACTTAGCCTGGTGTAGTGGTGTATGCCTGTAGTCCCAGCTACTCGGGAGGCTGAGCCAAGAGGATTACTTGAGACCAGGAGTTTGAGGTTGCTGTGAGCTAGGCTGACTCCATGGCACTCTGTCTCTGGCAACAGAGAGAGGCTCTCTCTGTCTCAAAAATAAATAAATAAATAAAGAGAAAAGAGGAATTACAGACTTAAGGTACCCCAATTAGTTATTAAAGGAGGCTTCTCCAAAAATATTATTGCATTGTATTCCTTTGTTTGATACTCTAGGTTACACTATAGGTCAACATATCATACTAAGATTTGGAATGGGTGGGGAATATTCTGTAAAGTGGGGAAAGGGCTATTCTAAAAATAGATTCATTCTCAGAACAGTTTTAGAAAATAGTACAAATCAAAGTAAGGGACTTGGAAATTGATTCCTGTAAAATTGTATAGCCCTTGGAAACAATCTACAGGGGCTTGCATACCCCAGTTTGAAGACCAATGGATTAATGCATATCATAATAAATTGACTACTATTTATTGAGTATCTACTACCAAATGCAATGATAGGTAGTTTACACATATTATCTCTAATCCTTCATAACCCTATGCTATAAGCACTGCCTTATCTTCATTTTACAAATAAGAAAACTGAGGCTTAATGAAGTTAAATGATTTGCCCAACGTTATATAGCCATCAAATGGGGAATCTTAACCCAAATCTGACTCAAAGCTCATGCTCTTTTTAAATCACACTGCATACATCTCTTACCTTTAGAACATCAGTGGGATTGGCTATAGCGGAAGATATCACTCCTGACACCACCCCACAGATCATATTAATTAGAAGAGTTTCATCTGTAAAAAGGAAAAAAAAGGAAAGGTCTGTTTGTATTAGGCACCAGTTACTGAGAACAGAGTACTGAGCTATAAGAAGAAAAGAAGCTTGGTTAGAGAGATAACGTTAGAAATGAACTACAAAGCTTATGAAAATAAACTCAAATATTTCTAGATCTCAAGTCAGTACTAAAATATATCAAAATTTTAAAATATAATTTCTTTAAAAAATCATTATTTCTAAAGGACACTAGAACATGTGTCCTTCTACATGTGTCTTCTACATAACATATATTGACAATAACATATCAATAACCCACATGAATTCAGAATGTGGTATTTACCCTTCAAACATTTCAAACATCTAAAGAACATGATTTTTTTTTTAAGTCTTGTTCTGGATAATCATCAACTCTAAAGATTCAGAAACTGAACATTAAAAGATAAAATCTTATGTCTAATACAAAAAAGTTATCTAAATGTATCTAAATATTGGCCAGGCACAGTGGCTCACACCTGTAAACCCAGCACTTTGAAAGGCTGAGGCAAGAAGATTGCTTGAGGTCAGGAATTCAGGACCAGGCTGGGCCACATAGCAAGTCCTCACCTCTATAAAAAATTTAAAAATTAGTCAGGTGTGGTAGCACATACCTGTAGTGCTAGCTACTTGGAAGTAGAGGTGGGAGGATCACTCGAGCCCAGGAGTTCCAGGCTACAGTGAGCTATGATTGTGCCATACTGTACTCTAGCCTAGGTGACAGAGTAAGACTCTATCTCTAAAATAAAAATAAATGAATAAATCTAAAATTTTAACAGGCCTTAATTCTCTTCTAGCCTCTGCTAATTTACAGAAGGCTTCTATAGTTGAATTTGAAAAAATCATTTAGAACTAAATTCCCTCAGCCAGAAAAAAGAAACCACAGAGCATATTGTTCTACAATGAAAATTGTATCTTCAAAATTATTCCTTCAAAATTATATCTTCAAAATCTTCAAAATTATATCCTCCTCACCATGAAGAGCCTACAAATACAAACTAAATAAACCCAAGCAAAGAATCTATGAAAGAAAATTGTTTTACAAAGAGGGAGACGGAAACCCTTCAGGATTCCCAAAGAAGAGGCTCCAGGAAATGCTGATTTAGGATAATAAAGTGATTTAAAGGACATTACTAACTGAATGGTTCTCCAGCTGTCCCCAACCATCCAACAGCCCCTGGC